ACTCTGCTTACAACTTGACTGTGAACTTCCAGCCTCCAGAACTGTGAGAAAATAAGTGTGTGCTATTTAAGCCCCCAGCCTGACGGGTTTGTTACCGCACTCTACCAGGAAGTGCACTCCAGGACCGCAGAGCACTTAGAGAGCAAGGAGTGGAACACAGAGAACAACTTCCAACACATAATGACCTTGCTCGTAGGTCTGAGGCACTGGGGTATACGGAAGGCCTTCAAGGCTGCCCCACTCTCGTTGTTTGCCACCTCTGCACCCACTTCCTGCTTCTCACACTGACCTCGGTGTGTCCTGGGGCAAAACTGCATGTGTGAGCACATGGTTACGACTACTTCATCCGAAGGCAGGAATTCTCTCGAGAGTCAAGTGGGAACTAGAACAATTTTCCACCCTTTCTTTCCTTCTCTTCCTCCCATACCTAGTTATAAACCCATCAATCAATTGCTTTGAACTTCTCTGAGAAGAAAGAAAAAGAAAAGGAGAGAAAGAGAAGCAGCTTGTTCTCAGCAGAGAAATAACAAAGACTGGAACCACAAATAAAGTATGAGAGACCGTCATATACTAAGTCTGAGAGTCACCAATATGCCACTCTTATTTACTTATTTATTTGAGAGAGATTGTTTTTCTATAGGGTGCGTGTGCTCACCAGAGAGACAGAAAGCCTGAAATCCTTCCCCCACCCCCACAAGGAGGATGTGCACTCTACAATTTCCATTCTCCTTTTGGGATTTTGGGCACACACACACACACACACACACACACACACACAAACACAGTGTGAGTTTCAAGACAATAGGTCCAGAACTGGAACCACAGTTGACCACACGGGAATCTAGTGCCTTAACCACTACGCCACCTGCTGGCCCCCAACATGCCACTCTTTATGCCACGGCGAAATGTAAAGGGTCCGTTGTTTTATAGGTAGACCCCCAAAAGACACTTCTCTCTTCTTTCAGCTCTTAGCTTCATGCTTCAGCTCCCTGTCTTATTCTCTTAACAAAGAGGACAATAGGGAAGACACACTTTGGGGTTTTGTGGTTTTTATTTGATTTTTGTTTTTAAATCACTGATCGGGTTGAACATTTCTAATTCTCACTTTGAGAATGTAGTTAAAAGAACAGAACTCCATCCTGAACAGGAAAATGGATGCATGCCAAGCACATCTGAGTACGGGATTAAGGATCAGAGGCACTCATTTTGCATGGACTGCTCTTGCCTCAGCTGGGATGCGTTTTTAATGCAGTGATGATAGCCTCCCCGTGGCCGCTGGCTGCATCTCAATATCTTCAGGGATGAGCCAGGAGGGGGTTTTGGGGAGCCGTTTCCCAGCAAGCTTTGAGGTGATTAGCACAAGTCACAAGCATGTAGGGGGAGGAGGAAGCCATCACGCAGGCAGACTTCGGGTTATTAAGAGTAAGGTCTAATGCTCGAAGCCCCATGGCAAAAAAAATCAATGACCCAGGAAAATGACACCAGCTGACAACCTCAGGAAAAGGCTTCAGGAAGAACTGCAGAGAAGAGAAAGGCGTAAATAACTTTCTAAAACTGCTCTGCTAATCTCCTGAGAGGCCTGACACTATATGAACAATGTCTGAACCCCTGACATTCTGGAGCTTTCTTTCACATGGAAACACCATCCTCCTTCATGGGGTGATGGGGCCTCAAGCTCCCTTCATCCTCCACCAGTTTTTGATGTTTCCCTTATTTAGAAAAACAAGCAAGTATCTGCATTAGCAAAGAGTGCTTCTAAGTCGTTGGCTATTGTAAGGCTCCGTGGGGGAGCGTGCACTGTCTCTTTATAGGTCTGTTTGGTTTCTGTACTCTCCTCCAAGTTCATAAAAAGGAACAGGACTGCCTGTCCCCAGGAGGGCAGTGAGCTTTGAGGCCAAGGAGAGTTTGGAGTTACTGATCAGGATCCGCTGCTTTAGCCCAAACATTCAACAAAACACTCAAGCTGTCTTCGTTAGAGCTTAGGAATTTTCCTCCATGCTGTATCTCACATGGTTGGGGGAACCCTAAAGGTTCGTGAAGCTTCAGGTCAAATTAGCTAACTTTGGAAGACTTCACCTTTTTTTTTCTGAAGCTTTTCTAATGTCTCCCTGATCCCACACTATATATTAATAGAACTTGGGTTTTAAACGTGAGGGAGTCTGTGGTTTGGGAGAACATTATCTTTCTCTTTCTCCCATAAAGGCTCCCTGGCTGGGCTGCGGTGGTGCTGCACGATGCTGGGGGATGCTGGGGGATGCTGGGAGCCATAGTGAGGACCTGGGTTTGGCTCCCGGTTGACCTGCAAACGCAGGGTACGTGGTTCTGCCCCTGCCGGTGACTCTGACTGGCTGTAAGGGCTGGGGGAAGACCTCGGGGTACAGACCCTATTGAGGGGGGTGTTTCTCGCTCTCTCATGAAAAAAAAAAAAAACTTCAGGGCTAGATGGTGGCATAGCCATAAAATGGGACCCTGTGAGGCAGAGAGACCTCCCTGAGCATGCCAGGTGCACATGCTGGCAGGCCCCATCAGGCTCGATGGCTAGCTTTCTGTCTCTCACTCACAGAATAAAATATATTTTAAAACATTAAAAACAAACTTTTTAGGTTGTTTTTATTTTTGTTTTTTTTTTTTTTTTTTTTTGGCTCTCTAACATTTTCTCCCTATTCTTCGGATTTCTGAAGAGCAACACAGATCAGAAAAAATGCGGGCTGGTTGTGGATGGACCTTGTGATGTCACCACCTACTGCTAGCTTAAAAATTTTTTTTTAGGGCCAGCAGTTAGTGTAATGGCTATGTCGCTGGACTCCCACGTAGTCGACCGCGGTTCGCGTCCCGGACCCGGTGGCTTAAAACTCACACCGGGCGCGTGTGCATGCGTGCCCAAGATCCCGAGAGGAGAATGGAGGAGAAGGTATTGCAGCGTGACCATCCCCCCTGGGGGGTGATTTCTCACTTTCTGTCTCTATGTCTCTCTCTGTCTGTCTGGTGAGCGCACGCGCCGTATAGCGAAAACCTCTTTAAAAAAAGGTTTTTTTTCCATTATTTATTTCATTTTACTTATTTATTCATTTATTTAAATTTGACTAGAGAGAGACAGACACGTACAAATTTTATTCGGAGGGAGAGAGAGAGAGAGAGAGAGAGAGAGAGAGAAAGCCACCAGGTCTGGGACTCAAACCATGGACAGACATGTGGGAGTCCAGTTCCTCAACCACCATGCCACCTGCCAGCCTGCTAGCTTAAAGAGTTTTAAGCCTGAAATTAAATTCAAACAGAAAGCAGAAAGAAATGACTTTTACCATTTCTATTACTTAGAGGAACCTATATCAAAACATCCATTTCACTCAGAATAGAGCCCCCTCGTTTGACAGTTCAAATCTCCTATAATAGTTGCTAGTTTCAAGTCTGGAATGAACAGTTCTCAAACTTGGGTGGTAACCTATAGACTGTTACAAGTATCACCACTGCTTCCCTAAAGAAACAAACTCTAAGTGTCTATAATCTGTGAGAACAATCTAATGGTTACACCGCAATTTGCCTAAAGCAATATTTGTTCAGTTGCAATGATGTCACAAAAAGAAAAAGTCTTGTCAGCTTTCAGTTCTTAGAATATTCAGAGCTAGACGGTGGCTGAATTTAGAACAGCTTGCCATAGCTTAAATCAGCAAATAGAGCTTTTTTAGCAGCCAAAAAAGTTCTATTACAAAAAGAAAACAAAACAAAAAGTCAACAGCACTTGAAAAGCCGGGTGCATTTCCCCAGCACATTTACCTCAGCGTTCTGATCCTGTGGGGCTTGATTTAAGGGCCCCGCTGTGCTTGCCAAATAGGCATATCTTGGCTTCCTTTCCTAGGCAGGAACGCTGCCTTGATATGAAATATTCAAAGCAAAGAACCTCTGACCTAAGGGCTCTCAGCTAACAATGACATTCTCTGTAAGTAAACCAGAAACCCAACTCAGCTTCTGGTTTGCCAGTGTTCCTCGCCATGTACTAGTCTACTGCACAAACAGGGCTGAGGAACGCCTCCATTTACACGAGTATATTGCAAAAGACCCTGCATGGCATGGTCCTTCAGGGACTATGCAAAGCCTGAACTTGGCAAAAGATCCCTGGAGAAGGGGGAGTGTGGGGTTAAGGGCTGCTTCCTGGGCTGGGGAAGGCTAAAGGTCTCCAACCTTGCGAGAGGGAGGCCCAGGGCTCATTCGGTTGGAAGAACATGTTGCCGAAGCAAGTGCAGCGCTAATATAAACACGTGACCCTCATAGCCATCATCAGCTTATTAATAGAAATGTTCATCTTGAGGCGCCACACCTGCACCCTCAGAACTAAGATCTGCTGGGGCAGCCTGGATCTGATTTCCCAAAAAAGAAAAGCCTCAAATAACGACGGGAGGAGGAAGTCTTTATTTTTTGGAAAGGAAACTGGAATGGGGTGGGGGACCCTGGTACCTTTGGGCGGGAAAGTCGCAGCCGGTATCTCCCCTGTACCCTGAAAGTTGCTCGTCTGGAGCCACATCTCTGCTAAACCCCCAGTCCCTGCGGGCTTCCCTCCCTGCCCGCCAGAGCGGACTTCAGGTCCCTTGCTAGCCCGTGACCCCAGGAGGCTGGGGCACCCGACTATGCGGGTGGCAAACCCAGTGCAACTCCTCTGACCAACACGTGTGTTTTACAACTGGGCGCGGCACCGGGCTCAGCTTAAGGAGGCTCCAGTGGGCGCGCGTGGGTCAAGACTGGGTCCCTGACGCTGGGAGATTAACCCCAGGTCAACAGCGGGGCGAGGAACTGAAAGCACTATGCACCTTCCTTCTTGAGAAGTGTGAGTGGGGGGTGACCCTGCTGCCACCGCACACGTAGCCATCTCTGCGGTAAGGGTTCGCACCAGTCAGGAGACCGCCTATGGGCACGTCCAAGTCTAACAGACCCCGCCGCTCCCCTGGTGGCAGAGGGCTCACCTGGGCGCGCCGCGCCGCCCGGGCTCACGCAAAGGAGGGCGCTCTTACCGGAGAAGTCGGTGAGCGCCGCGATTTCCCGGGAGCAGACCAGCACGGTGCAGTAGAAGAGGCGCAGGAGCTGCCCGGGTGGCTCTACCTGCCTGCGGAGGCCGGGATGCTGCGCAGGCTGCGGCGCGGGCGGCGGACGCGCGTGTCCCGGCAGGAGCATGGTGCGCAGCGCAGACGGGCGCCCGCCAGAGGCTCGGCGCGCGGGGGTCTCGGGGCTGGGGCCAGCGTCACATGGCGAGACGAATCGCTGGCCAGTTCTTCCACCGCCCCCTGCCTTCCCCCGCTACCTTCCGGCCCAGGCTAACCGAGCCTCCTGCCCAACGCGGGCCAGCCCGGACTCCCCAGTAAAGGGGAGGGGGCGGAGAACTGGGGCGGGGCGAGGAGCCCCGGGAAGGATCCGCGTAGTTTCCCCGAGAGGAAATCTCCGCCGCCGCCGCGCGGGAGGAAGCCGGGGGTGTGGGGCTTTAGGCAATGCGTAGGCTTCATGCGCCCCGCGGCTGCCCAAGCCGGCCCCTGGCGCGCTGCCAGTCTCGAAAGGCGCCCCCAGCAGCTCCCCTAGGGCCGCGCAACTTGAGCACCTTTCACGCCGGGGTCTCTGCCCCGGAGACGGCCCGGCACCCCTGGCCCGGCCCACGCTGGCCGGGTGCCAGCCTCGCCCTGGCAGCCAGAGGAGCGCGCCCGGTGCCCGTGACGCACTTTAGAGACAGCTCAGCGCGTGCAAACCGGGCGCCCCCGGGGCGGAGCCGAGCGGGGGCACAGGCAGGCGGGGTCCTGGAGGCGTGGGATCTCGGCACTGCCTTGCCTAAGACCCGCCGCGCCCCACGTGCAGTCCCCAACATGCCTGCGTATCCCCATTTCACAGAAGAGGAGACTGAGCCCGGGCACTCGCCTGCAGCGCATGCACCAGGACGGCAAACCCGGTCAGATGGCCCCGAGCCTGTTCTTCTCGCTCCTACTACGCTTTCTTTGGGTGCTGGCTGTCCGCAGCGCCAAGGGACCTGCCAGTGGAGCGGCATTAACAGCCACCACCGAGCGCTAATAGTTAGGCTTCGTTCTTACGTGGGCCACTGCATCTTTTCGAACCTCTCGATTAGGGACCGTCGGACCCACGTTAGGAAGCCCAGCCCGTGACAGGCTCGGGAAACCGGAAAGTGCGTGGGGATCCCACGGCCGCGCGCCGGGTGCGGTGCTGGGGCCCGGCCACCCAAACCCTACGCACCGAGCGGAGCGTCCGGGCGGGGAGGCGCCGGCGGGAGGAAAGGGGGCCGGCCCGGCTGGCGCTAGGCACAAACTGTTCCCCAGCGCGCCGGGGATGGCCTGCCAAGTTCGGGGCGGGCCTGACGCGGAAACGTAGATAATGAGTCCCAAGGGCGGGGCCCGCGCGGGGCGCCCGCCGGCTCCCAGGCTGCGAGTGTCCCGGAGTGCGGCGGAGAGGCCTGGAGCCAGAGGACACAGACGCGCGGTCCTCGCTGTGGATCTTCTCAGAGGGGGTCCGCAGAGACCCCGGGGAACTTGGGACATGGGTTGCACACAGCGCTCACCGGGGTTGGATCGACCGAGTTGGAATTCCTAGTGCCACATCAGTGTTTGCTGAGTGCGGTCCGGTCTGCAAGGTGCGAGGATTTTTAAAAATCTACATAAAAGTAAAGACTCAGAGGCTAGACAGGTGTTGTGGTTAACCACCAGATGACTGGACCCCACATGGCCTGCTGAGTGGTTTGAGTCCCAGACCCTGAGGCTTGAAAACCACTGCCTGTTCCTGTGAGTGCATGCCCCAAATCCCGAGAGAACTGAAGAACGGATTGCAGCGTGGCCATCTCTCCTGGGGGGTGATTTCTCACCTTCACAGCCCTCTCCCCACCCCCGCCCAGTGAGGGTACAACCCTATACTAAAGTATAAAGAAATAAATAACTGTTCAAATTAACTAATTAAATGAATGGGTAATTATTTACAGGGAAAATTCTCCAAAGTATCATATTAAGAAAGGAAGGCAGTTTCTCTCCCCAAAAGTTTCAATTTGCATAGACTTTCCAGAAACTTGCTATCACAGTAAGTTAGGACACACCATCAAAATAAGCACATAAGTAAGTAAAATAGAAACTAAAAACTCAGCTGTTGACTAGCCCTCAGACATAAGCTTTCCTGTGCATGTTCAGGGTGGGGAAACAGGCGGGGAGGTGGGGGACAATCGCAGAATGGAGCCCCTCTGTAAGTCTATTGAAAACCCTGCTTCCTCCTGCACTGTCCCTTCTGTTCATTCACGCAAACCGTGTGGAAATGAGCTGGGCACCAACGAATGCAGCCGCTGGGGATGCGGGCACAGGGAGGGAACGGGCTCCCTGGGGCTGGGGATGGCAGCACTGCCGCGGGTCTGTGCTGGCCTCCAGATGCCAGTGTGGCACGGTCACTGATGCTTATAGCATCCCAGGCTTCCATGTCCATAGAGCGGGAAGGAATAGAGTGAGACAGGCTTATTGTGAGGATTTAATACGTTGACTCAGCCTGAAACCTAGTGTTCTGTCAAGACGGGTCTCATTACAGCAGGGAAGACAGACATGAAGCAGATAACACAAGGACCCCCAGGAGCAAATGAGGATAACAGGGGGAGCTAAACTAGAGGGAGGAAGGGGATGTTAGGGGGAAATTTAAAGCGAGATGGGTGAGAACAATGAGAAGATGGTCAAACAAAAGCTAGCAAAGGCTAGGCGTTGGACATCTTAAATAAAAGGACCAGCATGTTGAAATCCACAAGACTGACTATAGAAGGATAGAGAAGGGACCAGCAGATAGCTTAATGGTTATGTTGCTGGAATCCCACATAGACAAACGCAGTTTGAGTCCTGGACTTGGAGGCTTGAAACTCACACTGGGTGCATGTGCAAATGTGCCTCAAATCCCAAAAGGAGAATGGAGGAAAAGGGATTGTGGGTGGCCATTCCCCCAGGGGGTGATTTCTCATGTTCTTTCTGTCTTTCTGTCTTGCTCCATCTCTACAGCAAGAGCAAAAACCCTATAGCAAAAATATCTCTCTAAAAAAGAGGAGGATGGGAACCAGCAGATGGTCTAATGACCATGTAGTCGACCAGGGTTCGAGTCCTGGACCCAGCAGCTAAAACTCACGCTGGGCTGGGCGTGTGTGTGTGTGCATGCCCAAGATCCCAAGAGGAGAATGGAGAAGAAGGGATTGCTGTGTGGCCATCCCCCGGGGGTGGGGTGGGTGGGGATAGCTCGCTTTTTGTCTCTCTGTCTCTGTCTTTCTGGTGAGCGCACGCACCCTATAGCAAAAACCTCTCCAAAAAAAAGAAAAAAAGAGGATGGAGAGAAATCTGGGATTCCAGAAGCAGAGGAAAGGACAGCGCAAGGTGATGTGGAGAGTTCCACAGGACTTGAAGAGCTCAGGGCCTTGAAGACCTTGGGGAGCATTTCCATCTTTATCTTAAGCCAGCAAAGAGTGATAATCAGAGGAGTGACATGATTGGAAGTGTATTGGTAAAATTACTATGGCTGCCAAGTTCAAATGGACTGGAGGGGTCAAAAGTGGTTCCGGGAAGTATATACCCCAACGAAATTAAAGCAGGAACTCAAGCAGATACTTGGACACCAGTCCGTTGCAATAGTACTCATAGTGGCCAAAGATGGAGGCAATGTAAGTCCCCATCAATGGATGACAGGATAAGCAAAATACGAAATAGTATTCAGCCATAGAAAGCATGAAGTCCTGCTTTGTGACAACACAGATGGATTTTGAAGAGATTGTACTAAGCAAAATAAACGAGATGCAAAAGGACACATTGTCTGATTCCTCTTACATAAAATACCTAGAACAGGCACATTCAGAGCAACAGAAAGCAGAGCAGAGGCTGCCAGGAGCTGAGAGGAGGGGCGTGGACAGTTTAGTGGATACTGAGTTTCTGTTTGGGGAGATGAAAAGGTTATGGAAATAGATAGTGGTGTTGGCTGCTTATTTTGACTGAAATTTTACTTGCTGGTTAAAATGGCAAATACTATGTTATGAAGGAGACTTTGAAAAGTTTATGGAAAATGGAATTTAAATATAGGTTAATTTTGATGCAAAAAGTTTTCAATTCCATGCCTGCTTTTTAATAACAGGCATTGTCTACGAACTTTCTGAAGACCTCTCTCATATATACTAAGCATAACTTTTGTTTTGTTTTTTTTTTTGTTTTGTTTTGTTTTATTTTTGTTTTGTTTTGACTGTAGGGCATGAGTGCTTGCCAGTAAAAAGGGGGGGGGGGGGAGTGAGAAATGGAGGGGGAGGCTGCTGTCGCAGAAAAAGGGGGGGGGGGGGGAGAGTGAGAAATTACTCTCCTACTCTCCAGGGAGGATGGGCATGAAACAATCCCTTCTTCTCCATTCTTCTTTTGAGCTTTTGAGCATGCACGCACACGCGTCTGGTATATTTAAGCTGCTGGGTCTGGGGCTTGAACTTCTCAGTTGGCCGTGCGGAATCCAGCCACTTTAACTGTCACAGCACCACGGGCACTAACCACACTTTTTAAAAATTAATGTTGTAGGGGCTAGTAGGTGGCATGGTTAAGGTGCTGGATCACACATGGCTGACTCTCAGTTCAAGTCCCAGACCAGACAACTTGAAAAATGACACTAGGCATGCATGTGTGCATGCACAAAATCCTAAGAGGAGAATGGAAGAACCCTGTGCGTCGGGAGCTGAGTACCACGTGACAGTCCATCGTTCAAATTCCAGCCCGCATTGGCTTAAAAATCACAGCAGGCACATGCATGCTCAAAATTCAGACAAGAAGGATAAATGGAGCCAAGGGAGGGCAGCATGACCACACTCCACTGAAAGGTGTTTATTCTATCCTCTCTTTCTCTCTGGTGAGTGTACAGACCTAACAAATACATACGTATGTACACATACATACATACATACATACATACATACATACAGTGAATCCAAGGACGAAGAGCAAGCCAAATAGTAAAGTGTTGTCAAAATATTATACTCTCAACAACCCTTTGATATAGGTATTAATCAGGACCAACTACATACTTTGCTGGGAGAGAGCTTCTCACAGGGGCAGTGCAAAATGAAATTATTGGCCCTTGTACAAAAATTACTAAGAACTCCAAGACGGGACAGGTGAAGGTGCACAACTAACCCACATGGGAAGGTCCTGGGATTGCTTTCCAGGGCCTCCCTGAGGATGCTGGGAACTTGTCGTGCCTGTGACCCAGACCAGCGAAGGTTGGGGGTGGATTGTAGTATGAATACCCTGTTGGGGGAGGTCTCTCTCTCTCTCTTTTTCTCTCTCTTTTTATTTCTGGCTTTTTCTCTGCTACGGAAGAAATAAATACACTTAAAGAATTTTTTAAAATCCAAAATAATAACAACAGAATATTAAACCGAGCACGGGCTTTCAGTAGAGTCGCGTGGAGCTGGCCCGTACTTCCACCATCTCCATGTATCAGATGGAGAAAGCGAGGACGCCGACTCACACAGAGCAGTGGAGCCGGGATTTGAAACCCTCTTCCACTGTAAGGGCACAGCAACCAGGATGTGGACACTGAGATGGAGATAAAATAAACTGTCCCCTTCCTTGTGCTGGCACTTTGGGCAATCTTGTAATGTCTTGCCCAGGTTTGAGAAGAGCCTCTATAGCTGCTTTATTCATTCTATGTGAGAAGCACCCTTGCAGGACATTGTAAGTTAGATGTCTTAATTCCTGCCTCTCTCTCTCTCTTTTAAAGCAGCTCTATCCTTTCGTTTCGGCTCTAAGTTACATCTCTGTTTTCCTTCTTTCTCGAGTTCCTGGCTACTTCCATCCTTAATGTGCACACCTATTTTGGAACGTGCTTTTGTGCTTTGTGCTTAAATTCCAGCCCGAGTGTGTCCTTGCACCTGAGCCATCAAGGTAAGGCTTTTGCTGCTAATAGAGATGGGCTGAAGTCATTCTGAGAAGACCATTTATCGACTTCGAAGAAACCAACCTTTCAGCTCAGGAGAGTGAGGCAGAATGTTCTGCAGAGCTATAAAGGCTTACTTTTAAAAAGCAAAAAGTGTGGTTTGTTTACAGAGCTGGCACCACAGAGCCACATCAATACCAAAGAGCCTGCTTGCTGAGGGCTACTAAAGCCAGGGAGGTACTAGAAAGGTGGTGGGAGCATGTTTATCTCAAAAGTCTATGGGAGGGGTTAAGGCACTGGACTCCCACTGTG